CCATGTTAACATGGTACAAACACTCATTCCAGAATGAAACTGCTCCGGGGGGATTGAAATGAGAATGAGGTATGAAATTTTATTCTCGTACCGGAACTGATTCTGGTATCATGTAAATTAATGGCCCCTTGCTACATGTTGTGTATGTGATATAGATATTGTCTTTTATTTATTAGGTATTTACCAAAGTGGAAATCATGTGATAATAAGAGTAGAGGTATTGGGAACTATTGTTTCCGTGGATGATCGAGAAAAACTTACTGTTTATGGTGGTAAATGAAATTATTTAATTTTGATGAATGAACTATTAAAGTTAATAGAGATTATTACACTGCTAKTTGTGTATTACAGCCCAATAATTTCATGAGTGAAAGCGGCCATATTTTTTCGAACAGCGTAGGGGTGAGGAGAAATACAGCCTCACGAGTCATTATCCAGCTGTAATACACAACTATATAGCAGTGTAATAAGTTGTTATTGTACAACACACACACACAAAAAAAAACAATTTGTATTTTAAACAAGCAAACTTGAAAGTCACAAGCTCAAATGAGCTGATATGAGCTGTAAAAGGATTGGAGAAAATTTCCTCATGCTGACATCAGCAAAAAAAAAACATTCAAAACCAGTTCACAAACCGTGTATTATAGCTCTGTAATTAACAACAACAAACAACAACAATAGTTTATTTGCACTCAAGGAGGAAAGAATTACATGAAACAAAATTAAAATTGCAAAAAACACGAGCACAGCTACCTAAAATAGCTGAAAAGCTAATCGAGTTAGGCAGCTAGGAGGTCAGAAAATTGCAGAATACTATGTTTACAGAAAAGTAACAAGGATAAATAGCAAATTAAAAAAGCAGAAAAATACAAATTTCATACAAAAAAAAATACACAGAAAATATACACACGCACATACACATAAGGAGATACGTCAATATACCAGATTAATATTCATCAAGAAAAGAATTGATCAGATGTTTTTTGGATTAGCCACGCCTACTTAATTGCACTTTGTAAAACTTATTTCTTGAGAAATTCAAGAAAATTTAACACAAGTTGTGACGTTATTTTGTTTACAAGTCTCAAGATTTAGTTGCAAATACACGAAATGAATGTAGAATCTTAGTTTCAGGTAGTACACTTTTCAGTTATTCCCTACATTTGAAGAGTACTACTTAAGCTATCAAATGAAGTTGAATAGAATATACGAATTACAATTTATATTTAGTGCATTACTATCAAATCTAGAGTATGTGTTAACAAAATGATATCACAAATTGGGCTTAATTTTCTTACATATCTCAAGAAATAAGCTTTTGAAACAAACTAAGTTTATTACAATATATTTATTATTACTAACAAACTATTTATTTTAAACAATGAAATTTTTTCGTGTCATATACACTTTAAACTATTTACTTCATATAGAATCAATACTGAAAGTATTGTTGAAGAGTTCATGTGTACTTGAATTTTTACTGCTCATTTTTTGAACTAATAAAAATGTTACTAATTATAATTTTTTTGGTATGATAATTTAYAGTAGATGATGGTACAGGGATAATATCAGGCTGTTACTGGAAAATAAACAGTTCAACAATAGACCTGTATTGCCTTGGTCAATTAGTGACTTTCCAAGGGAAATTAACCACATTCCGTGATCAGCGACAGTTAACAGTAACTTCCATAGGTCAGTTGACATTTGATATCACTTCTGTTTATGATTATCATCTTTAATTTTCCAGAGTTGTCAAAATCATCATCGCTTTGCTTCTCTTATTTGATTTTTTTTATCCTGAAACCCGGAGCTGCAATTTTGTATACAGGCTTCTCTTGCTAATACTTTGTTTCTATYTTATATAGTTTTAGAGAGTAACCCTAATGCTGAGATTCTGTTTTGGCTCGATGTTGTCAAATTAAACACAGAAGTCTATAGCACTCCATATGTYCTTCCTGATATGGCTAGTGAAAGTGGTTCTTCTTCAAGCACACAACAATTAATGGAGTTCTTATCAAAATACACACAGGAGTCAGAAGTAAATGGATTTTCATTTAGAGACTTGTGCTCTAAGTCAAGTGTGCGGCAAATAGCTCTGACTAGTTTGGGTTCAAATGTTATTGATCAGGTAAAGCATCCTTAGTATCTTTGAGGATTTCGTATTTGGATATGATAGTAATTGTATAAAGTTATTTTGGTTTGAATGCATACGTTTTATAAGGCAAAATGTTTGCARTCAAACTGAAATACTTACAATTACTATAAGTTTCCCTGTTTTATTATTATAGCATTTAAAAATTTTCTTCATGAATACCACCAGGCTAGCAACACAAGATGCTTTTCTGAGATTTGCAAAGTGGTACGAAAGATGCTGACTCAGCTGGAAATGAAAGGAGAAATATATTACAAAGATGCRTCAATGGATTCCTATGAGGTAATACCAAAGATAGCATATAARAAATAAAACTTGCAAATGCTGAAAAACCCATAGCCTATACAGCAGAGGCACATTCCTGTATAGCTTATATAGTATATAGGAGTGTAGGATGTGAATGGTTCTTTCATGAAGATAGCCAATGAGCAGAGGTTATATTACAACTTATTTAAAACTCTCTTCGTTCCTTTCCCACTCCCCCTGCCCCTAAGGCTGAACCCATGGTTGAAGAGGAGATCTGAGACCTACAGCAAAAATGGAGGACTGCAAAAGACTTGATTAAATTTTAATGTACTTTCTAGCTAATGCCTTCATCATGTTTAAATGGCATTTTTTCTTCAGATTATCACAGATGATCATCACTTGAAGCCTGCCATTATAAAAGCTATCAAGGACATTAGTAAAGGTACCAAAAAGACAGCTCTTCAACTTTATATCAACACTTACATGTATAAATTCCCTTACTTAAAAAAAACGTTGGCAGCATAAATCCTCTTTTTCTCTATTATAATATCTTTGTGTGAAATAATATTTAGATGTGAGCTCATTTTCCACAGGCGTCATTAAGTAAACTTTATGTGTGTTCTTCACAGGGTCGCTACATCAAGGTGCTCACATTGCAAGGATTACAGATGCTCTACACTCTACACAAAGTCTTTGTCATGTTGGTTCTGCCAGAATTCTAGATTCTTTGAAGAAACTTATCTGTGAGAGTGAGATTTATCAACAAAGTAATCAGGTGTACTGCATTGTATGATCAAGGGCGGATCCAGGGGGAGGGTTGGGGGGGTCGCGACCCCCCTGTCATTCCTGAGGTCAAATGGGTTTCTTGTGGTAAAAATGTGACTGGGATTCCTTTGCCCACAAAATTTACCCCTGAGACCCCCCCTTCAAAAAACCCTGGATCCGCCCTTGATGATTATGGTGCACAATTACAGGGATGGGGGAGGAATGATTTGAGGGGGTTAATKGCAATTACTCCCCCCACCCCACAATGGAAAATCCTGTATACACACCCTGCATCATGTAGACAGCACATCCATTTAGTCATGTAAGAGCAAAACGATGAGAAAAATGGTGAGATAAGAATGTCAGTTTTATTAATATAATATGTAATTAACTGATCAGATATCTGTAACAGTTAGAAATKCTTCTTTGTTATGTTTCTTATTACTACTGTGATCATTTATGGCAGTCCAAAATAAATTTAGAAAATGTCTGATGATGTCCAGGTCATGAAACATGAAAAATGATCTAAAACCTGCATTGAAGCAGTTAATCTTGAGTGTCCCACTCTACCCCCTCCCTATACCAAATGTCATTATCATTATAAATAAAATTAAGAGCATTGCTGGGGAATGACGTTTTTGAGCCAATCGAAGAGCAAAAAAGATGCAATAAGAATTTGTGTTCTATACAGCAATGAAAATTATTTAAAAGCAACTTTTACTCTACCTCATACTCAATATCTTGAATTGAAAAATCAGGAAAATATGAAATCCTTTAGTTTCAACTTTTCAAAGCACAGGTAGCCCAAGCTTGGTTTCTGTGGTGTCCTGTTATAAGGAAATGTATGGAGATTCATCAAAAATTTCAATAAAATCATTGAAACGTGAAATAAAGCCTCGAAATTTTACCCGATCATTGAGAAATAGCACTTCTTTTGCTCTGCATGGTTATTTTTTGAATTTAGTCCGTTTTAAGATTTTTTCTTACTGGTGGGGGTGCTTTTATCTTGTCCTAACTTAGTACACCTAATACAATGTTCAACCCCCAGAACTACGCTCTTCTTAATAAGCAAAATATATCATGTATTTTGCTGGACAGTTYCTCAACTGTGCYGAGGTTGGAGTTGCTGCGCATGATAAAAAGCATACTTTGGTATGCACAGAAACTCCAGCCTCAACTTAGAACTATTATTTTATTTTGTGATCGCTGAACGGAAATGTAAAGAGTAGTATTGTTTAAGTTCCTTATTACCTTGGGATACATCGTTGAGGGAAGTTTAATCGCTAACATCACTCGACTGGATGAATAGCTAGAAGTCTAAATATCCCTCATGAATTTGAATATTATATCCACATATTAAAGGGCGCTATATAAATCTTAAATCATAATCATAATCATATGAGGGAAGATTAGACTTATCATCCCTCATGAATATAACCATGAGGTATGATTATAGACTAATYTTATCTTATCAGGACCATGACCCATGACTCAGTAGAAATCTTAGTTGATGCAATGACTTTCTACTAGACTCTGTTTAAAACCTTCGCACTTCGCCACCCAGTTAACTCAGTTGGTAAGAGCGTCKGTCTGTTGTGCGGGAGGTTGTGGTTCAAGCCTCGGCCAGACAAACACTCAGGGTCTTAAAATAACTGAGAAGGTGCTGCCTTTGTAATAATATCTGCAAATGGTTAGACCTTCAAGTTTTCTCGGATAAGGACTTTAAACCGTAGGCCCTGTCTCCCAACCCTTCCTAACCTACAGTAAAATGGGGGACGTAAAATATCCCGTTGCATTATTTGTGTAAGAGTAGGGGATTGTCTCTCGGTTCAATAGCCTATCCCTGTCTGGAGGCATAACACTAATGTACTAACAAATCTTTCATGATTGTAAGCTGTTTGGCTGCTATTAGCGCCTTAATATGCAGTCYGTAAAATCCTCCACTGGTCTTTAATGTAAAGCGCATTGAGACGTCGTAATATTGCACTATACCTCCCATTATTATTATTTGTGGGACCCATTGAGTAGTTGTCACATGAGTTCATCACATCGTGACTCTTAMGATTTGTGAGGTAATAAGTTATTAGCATTTCCGATTTGAAATTGCTCATTGTATACCGATAATGACAAAATGACATGATAAAGATTCCCTAGATTACATCGTAATCAAGACTTTAAAAAAACTGTGATTCATTCTGCTCTTGGTTAACCAAAGTAAACTCCTTCTCCTTACTTTCCTTGGTGTTCATAATATTACAAACTAATTCATGACCYTTTGGGTGATATAGTGATTAATTGTCCCCTCAATCCTGGGAAGGTTTAGTTAAAGTCCTGAYGCCATACCAAAACCTTGGGGACATTTAATCACTAATTATCCTGAGGTCATGATATTACTTATAAAAACCATTATAATTATTTAAAGAATCTAATAAGTTTCATCCTAATGTTTGAATGTATAAAAAGGCTGTTTCAGGGTACATTGAACAATGAAGATCTGGTATAAAGATTTAGYTAATGGGAGAATTATTACTATTAAKTTGGAATTTATTGTATAAAAAATAACAGAAATAAAAGGACCTTTATTTTTTTTCCATTTTGAAAACCAGCATTTTTCCTCACCATGGGCTAGCAAAGCTGATCAGAATGCTTTTTTTTTTTCTATTTTAATAAAATTCTCAAATTCAGATTGTGTTTTATATTTCCCCAATGAAAGCAATTTATTATAAATTATTCACATTCAAGTACACTTAMAAATAGTCCTTATTTATAGGTTTATTGAAAAGTTTCTTTGATGTATTAAGAGAAAAAAAGCAATTCAGTTTTTGATGATGTGACTAGAAATTGAATTAGACTCCTTTAACAACAGCCACGCCTGCCACTGCCTTGCACATTCCCATTGGTCCTGTAACCTTCCATTCACCTATCTTTGGATCAAAATACTCCACAGTGTTACGATAAGACACACCATCATGACCACCAAGAGCATATAACAGGCCAGTCACTACACTTACTCCATGTCCACTACGACATACACTCATTGGTGCTACAAAAGCCCACCTATCCTCGTCTGGGTAGTATCGCTCTGTTTTAAAGAAAATTAACAATTTTTTTAACACAAGCTGTTAGAGGACTTWAAATATGCTGTAAACTATAAATGTTAACAAAATGTGCAGGCATACTATACTGTACCTGAAGTACTCAGGTTAGATGTGCCATCATACCCTCCAGTGGCATACAGGTGCCCATGAAGTGTAGCCACACCCACACCTCCCCTACGTGCCCCCATAGAAGCAACATATGTCCATTCATTTGATTCTGGGTCATARCGTTCTACTGTTTTGAGATAATTGACTCCATCATGTCCACCAACAGCAAAYAAGTAACCTGTGTACCATAAAATAATTAAAATGAGCTAAAATAATATWTTAAAATGAAGATATTACCAAATGTCACTGATGAAAGCCAAAATGATTTATACAGGTAATAAAGTATTAAGATTTTGTTGAACGTTCGTTGCGTTTGTCAACTAGTGTTATCTGTGGTATGTATGTAGTGATGACCTGTCAAGCARCTGCTAATAATCTGCCAACCAACAGCTGACCAACAGTTGGGTCAACAGACGTTTTAAGTCATAAGTCTTTCCTGTAGCTCAGTGGTTAGAGCATCAGATTAGTATCTGGAAGGTCATAGGTTTGATTCCTGTCAGGGACTCTGATTCTTTTCTGAGTTCCTTTCAGCTAGTGACAAATGATTTATTTTGAATTATTTTTACATTTACTTTGTTAGATAATAGAAAAATTTCATCATAYATGTGGCATATTTCTGCTTCTAATTAAAATAATCTCTAAATTCGATATGTTTCCTTGAACCCCCACATTATAATAGCCAGTGGTAAACAAAAGGTCTCTAGCTTTTATTCTTTAAACTATACCTACAAGGAATATAACTCATGGGTCTGGGTTCTATTTCAACCATGTTAGCAGAGCAGTTACATCATTCCTATGTAAAATAATGGTTATCGTAATTTGTATTTTATAAAAGAAATAAAAAACTTGCTTGCTGTGCTCTGTGGAGTTAAAAAGCACTTGGGGATTGGCAGAACGTCACTGCACATCGTGCTTCTCCTAACACTTCTCTTGTGTTCTGCCAACCTCCACGTGCTTTATAACTGCACACAGTACGCACTCTTGTTTTCTATTTCTTCAACAGCACATTTTTACCTGCTGTAGTTGCACAAGATGCTTTTCCTAAGTCATGTGAATTTAAGACTCCCACAGCTACATGTCTTCTTCTGTTTTTCATAGAAGAAGTATATTTCCATTGATCCAGTTTAGGGTCGTAAACCTCCACAGAGTCAAGCACAGAGATTCCATCGTATCCTCCTACTGCATACAGCAGACCACCTAAGACACCTACAGCTACGTACCTCCGTGGATTGTTCATTGCTGCAACAAACTTCCATTGCTTGGTAGTAAGATCAAAGCATTCCACACTAAATATTTTCAATAGATGAAAAATTAAGAAAARTATCAGGCAAGCATGAATGTGCAAGCAAATGATATAACAGAAGTGCTTATAATTTTGATTGAAAATTAAATTTTATTTGCATCATGGGATTATTTGTTTAAATATGTTAAGAGGAAATTTTTTTCAATATTAGGCAATATTTTGGTAATGTATTTTTTTTCAGTATTATTCTGTTTTCATTGCCCTATGTACTCCATGTAATTTAGTTTCATGTTTAAATTGATATATAGACCCCCTCGATGAGTTTTTGCTCTTGGGGTTAATATGTGATTAATATGTTTAATTAAAAAATAAATAACAATTATTCGCCAAAGGCGAAGTGATTATCGGCGAATATTTACCGAGACGCTAGTCTTCGAGCAGCGAGGTAAATATTCCCCAATAATCACTGAGTCTGAGGCAAATAATTGTTTTAGTATAAATACACAGTTGATTCTTTCAAAAAAAGAAAAAAAAGAAGATAAAAGGCATTTTTTCCCGGTAACAGCAACAAAGTGGCTGGCCGCCATTTTGGATTATCGCTGAAGGTGATTATCATGTGATAGTGTGAGTTTCTTGACCAATCAGCGTGCGAGATTTTCTATAATCACCTGCTTATTTTTACTAAATAATAATAATTAAAGCAGGTGCTAGAAATAAACATTGAATCTTCATCATGTTCATAAATTTAGCTCGTTAATTAATTATATATACCATGGTTTGATGTTGAAATATTCATGAATTCTTTACCGGTATTTCCAAATAACATTCAGTCATACATGATCACATATACAAACTGGCTAATTCAAAGTAATTTATTTTAAAAGCCTTGGCCATGGTTTTTGCAGTGAAATCAAATAGTGTGGCCTGGATCCAAAGGACAAGTGACAATTTTTGGTGAGTGGAGAAAATTTTATACACAAACAAGAAAGCTATACAAAAGACAACTTTTGAAAAACATGGAACCAAGAATGAATGAAAATTCTTTGCTGTTGTGATAATTATTAATCTTAGGAATGTTGATGTGAAGCAGGGGTGGCAAAGTGGCGAGAGACACGTGTACCTCTCACAATGTGACCTGTGTTTGACTCCCACAGGGGTCATTAACACATATGAGTAGAGTTGCTTGTTGGTTCTCTCTAAGAATTGTGCCTGGAGGGTCTTTTTTTAGGTTTTCCATTTTTCTCCCTCCACAAAATTCAACTTACAACAATGAAAAGCCACTCTGTCTGTGGAAATCCAATTTTATTTACTTTATTTAGTCAGACTAGCTCACTATACCAGTACATACCTGTTTAAATAGGCACTTCCATCATGACCACCTACAGCATACACTTTATTATCCAAAACACCAATACCAACACCACTCCGAGATACATTTGTGGGACTCATGAGTTTAACCTTGTTGCTATGAAAGTCATACCTCTCAACAATCTTAACTGAATGCCCAGTCGAGTCCATACCACATATACTGTACACTACCCCAATTGTAGAATGCCGAGGACAAAAATTCTTTTTSTCTGGTTCTGTTCTGTGAGGCAATAAATGGACATTCTTTGCCTCATCTAATAAATTCCTACACTTAATGTCTTGATAAATCAGGTCTTCTTTTTCAACTTGGTCAACAAGAAAGTGAGGAGAAAGAAGTGGAAGTCTTATTTTTACAAGGAGTTCTGACAAATAATCYTTTCTGTTCTGCACATCTTGCTTAACCCAAGAAATTAATGCATTATAAACATCCTCTTCACATTCTACATTTAAGTGTTCACTGGAGAGTAAGACTGCTAAGTCTTCCTTGGGAAGAACTAAGAATTCCTCATTTTGTACAACATCAATAAARTGTTCATCGATAAATTTCTCAGAGGCTTCTCTCAATCCTGAGCATGAGTGAGCATCTGCAAATGATCTTATTCCCAGGCAGTTTGAGGGATGAAGTTGACGTCGCAGAAAATCTGAACATGCTTGCTGCAGTGTTGAAAGTTGGAAGAGTGARCAAGCGTACATAATTGCTTGGACGTTGTCCGTCGTKATATCAAGCTTTCCTGTGTAAGCAAAGTCGACGAGACTTTGAACAGCATCGCTGTCAATGTCTTTAAGAGTCACAGTATCTTCAAAACTTTCAGCGAGTCCTCCAGTAAACATAGCTTGGAAGTACGAACTGAATGAAGCTAGGACTAGACGATGTGTTTGTATTCTTTTCTTCCCCACACAGATTATCACATCGCATAGCTGCGCTCGTCGCCTCAAATCGTCCATTACCATCAACGCTTTAATTCCGTGTTTACTACCGGCTTCATACTTAAATATATTTTCGTCTTTTCGAGTTTTTCCTTCGTGTAAGACTCTGTCAAAGTCCATTTGACTTCATCAACTCAGCTAACCCTCGCAACACTACCTGGTAACGAGTCTCCCTTTTCGTCGAGGGTACCATGTCGAGGGTCGAGGGTATACCATGTCGAGGGTCGAGGGTATACCATGTCGAGGGTCGAGGGTATACCATGTCGAGGGTCGAGGGTACACCATGTCAAGTGTTTTCTGAAGCTGAGCACGTATAACAAACAATAATTGGTCCAAATTGAGGAAGTTTACGCACAAACTTGAAAGAACATAGTTTGTTTTCTTGTTGTCTTGGAACACGAACAAAGATGGCGACCTAAGTTTGGCTGCGAGATACGGAGGGACTGGGTAATGCACAGATCAGTATTTGCTAGGATGTTTTAGTATGCGGATTTATCCAAAATACGGTTATACCAAGAAGTTTTCAGCTACTTATTAACTGATACAGCTTCCCTGGGAGAATATCTAACATCGGGTACGTATAAATCTCAAGTTACTTCGCAGTAGGTTTTAATATAGTTAGAAAACTCATTCATAATTCATGAAGAAAACACAATAGAAATCATGACCATGAAGGTGATTTTATATCTGATTAAACATTACATAGATCAATGTTTCCGCTGAAAATTCTGTTTTAGTCGAAGGTTTCTTAAATGTCGTAATTCCAATTTTTTTCTTACAAACTATTATCGTAGGAACATTCAAGATCGGGGTTTTCTGGAAAAAAACCCGCTTTGTATACACCGCAATACGCTCTTCAATTGTCTATTAAAATGACTACATATTTACACGGGGTGAGCGATTCAAACAACACTGAAAAGCAAACTCCCCTAACTCGCTAAATAAAGCCCAAATACCCAAAGAAACCACACAACGATGTTTAATAACTATCAATCTTTATTGTCGAAGAGTATTCAGTCACGAAAGTACGTTTTCGAGTGAATTTTTGAGTGATATTTGAAAYCACTTATAAATCCTAAGATTTCAAACTCAAGGGTCAACACAGGAAACCCAACTACCAGAAAATTTGATTATATCTTTCATTTGATTACTCGAAACTGAATTTTCTTCTGTGCTTCAATAAGATCTATGGGAAACAACAAAGCCTAGCATGATTAGGGAGCATTTTGTGTTGATTAATCCAATGAAAAATCGAATTTCCAAGCTATTCTTGATTTGAAAATTGGAAATTTCATTTTCAATACTGAAAATTGGTATCGTATGATGAAATCAATTTTCGAATAATGAAATTAATAATGAGTTCTAGGTGTTCACGATTGAGGTAGTTTGACTGTAAAGACTTAAGTTACATAGTATTATTAGACTTAATTCACGGGTTCATTGACGTTACTTTGTGCACCTATGCAGGGTGACATGTAACAATTAAAACTACTCAAATGAAATTTCAAATGACATGATGGAGGTAATACCTAAAGGTTTTGTTTCAAAATGAAGTATAAAAAGATTGATTTTTAAAAATCAACAAAATTCAATTGCTATGGTTAACTTAAACTTTCGATAATGATAACAAATCACTTCTCATTTTCTAAAATGGAAAAGCCCAAAATACTTTGGAATTAGTTGGTATGTAATATATACAGTATGAGTGGCCGTGTCGTATCCAATATATAATCATGATGCTTTGCGGCCAACCTGATTATTAGAATTAGAAATCAGGAATTGTACAAGAGTTATTTTAGATTCCTGTTTGAGAAACCAGAAAACTGACTTTTAGGCACTGCCTGGGTATATTGCATAGGCGAAAATACAAGTTTGAAGGAGATGATGCAGGATTTTGGATTTCCGTTTCCCCCCTATTAATCAGAAATCGCATTTCTGTTTTCTGAATCACGAATC